CTGACTAAAATATACAGGACAACAGTAGGTGCATTATCTGCAAAAACAAAACAAAACATCAAGGAACCTAATACAAATTAAATACTAGCTATGTTTTCGCAAAGTATTGACACAGTATAATTATTTTACTCAAATTTCACAACAAATTATCATTTTCCCGTGTTTGTGTAATATGAGTTAATTAAGCTTGACTTAAAGCAGATGAATTATGAGTAGAAAACAAAACAGTAATGCATTCAAAGGTACATGTACTAAAAACATGTTATGTTGATCGCCTGACTGACGTGTCAGTTTACAACATTTCAACAGTTCAAACAGTCCCACTTAGAACAAGTACACATAGAGACAAAGAAGAGAAATACAATAAAACTAAAGTGGACGAAAATGTGTGGTAGAAATAATGATTAGTTGAAGACTAGTAAGCATTTCAAAAAATGGATGGGGATTAGGAGTAAGTAGATCTTCAACATTTACAACAATTTGTAAATATGTCATCAAAACACTTCGACCATTGATTCTTAGCATACCGATGATCCACGCCATGAGATCTGCATCTCCCAATATGGTTCAAATCAACAGTCGTAGTTTTCATGAGTTGGTATCATGTTTTGATCTCACTTTATCTAACTCTTTTCCAGACTAATTCCATTTTGCCTCGGGATGCGTAAAACATATACTGTCCATTTCAAACTATGAGACTTTACAACCACATCAGCTGGCTTTCTCTCCTCATTATGGCTGTAGTCAAAAACAACCACTATTTCCAAATCTTAAACAACCATGTAGTGTAACAAGACTGGGTCTAGGGCTTCAGAGTAAACACTTCCATATGTACCCATGCTGGAATTTTGTCAGCAACCATTAGGACCTATGCAACTTACCGCATAAGTGAAGTGATAAATGCACTTATTCATTTCATTAATTATCTTTAAACCAGGATCATTTAAAAGAGGCAAATCCCACACCAAATATACTCAAATCTTCTATCATGGTATTCAGTAGATTCTGCATTTGTGTGCAACTTCACTCAAAATAACAATATCATATAGATACTATAGATCTATAGGATTTTCTCCTGGTGACAAGTCAATCTCTAAGGCATCGAAGTTGATCAAGGTCACGTTCATTCATGTATCTATGGTGATATTAGGAAGAGTGACAGTGGACATTCCTGATAGACACCATTGTCACTTCAAATCACAACTCTCCATAAGCTTTTTCAATGGCTGTGTATTTATTTATTTATTTATTTAAACGCAGAAAAACTTGGTACAATATGGCACCAAGAAAGATGCGCCACACAATAATAATAAAACAACATAGATTAAAAGTAAAAATATAGGTAGAAAACGGATAAAGAACTTCATCTGGAAGGAAAACAGTCATGTTTAACAAGTTCAAACAGTATTCGTTAACTATCATCAGGAAGAGAAGAAAGAAGGAAATTGCAACACGTTCGCCATTGATTACGATTCTTGGCCATATCCGATAACGTTTCGAGCCATCGATTTGAGCTATCTCGCGGACCCCAACCAGGGAGTCGTGACACACCAACCGATGCTAATCTAGCACAAATATCCTTCATCCCACGACGCCACGTCATGGACTGACCACCCCTCCGCCTTTTCCATCCCGTCCCAGGGCTAGCGAACAGAGACCTGTACGGAAGCCTCTGGGATGACATTCGCAGCACATGTCCAAGCCACCGGAGCTGGTGTTTCCAGATGACGACACTCAATGAATGGTGATCTCCACTGTGTTCAAACACACGCCGCCGAACCTCAGAATTACTCACGCGATGATGCCATCGAACGCAAGCAATCCTGTGGAGACAGCGATGATCGAACACGCAGAGTCGCCGCACATCCTCAGCTCGGAGAGGCCAGGTTTCACAAGCGTAGAGCAAGACAGCCCGCACCGAAGCATTGTATACCCGACCTTTGACAGCCAGGCTAATGTCGCGACGGCGCCAGAGGTGGCTCAAGTTGATGTATGCCACCCTAGCCTTCATTATACGGTTGGAAATCTCATCCGTCACCCCTCCGCCAGCACTCACACAACTACCCAGATATACAAACTTATCAACAACTTCAAACGGTTCACCCGCAAGAGTGAGTGCAGGTACAGGCTCCTGCCAATCTTGTAACAGTACTTTGCACTTAGACGGTGCAAAACACATACCATACTTACAGACACTGATCGCCAACTGATTAAGTGCGATTTGGGTAGCCTACATGCTATCGCACAGTAAGACGATATCGTCTGCATACTCGAGGTCGAAAAGTCTATCTCCAGGTAGCAGATCTACACCACCTCCACGCACATCCTTCAGAGCTGACTCCAGAATGTCATCGATGGCAAAGTTAAAGAGAAATGGAGAGGTTGGACAACCCTATCTAACCCCACTGTTGGTTGGGAACAGTGATGATAGTTGGTTGTATGCCCACACTCTACCTGAGGTGTTTCTGTATAGGGCTTTCAAGATGTTAACAAATTTCTCAGGTACACCTCTCTCTAACAGACAGTTCCAGAGCACAGTTCTGTCCAACGAATCTAAGGCAGCCATAATATCAAGAAACAACGATCGTTGGCCTGCAATACGTGTGGCGGTGTTCCAACAGCTGACGAAGGGTGAACACATGATCAATGCATCCAAGACCTGAACGAAACCCAGCCTGCTCTTCGCGAATCAATCCTTCACGTATTTTCCACAGCCTGCGAAGCAAGACAGCAGCTAATAATTTAGACGCGACTGGTAGCAGGCTGATACCCCTATGATTGTCACACGAATTACGTCGACCCTTTTTAAAGATGGGGACGATAATGGCTTCGTTCCACATTGATGGTACACTCTCAGTTTCCCATACCTTCCTGAACAACCCAGTTAGAGCCATTGTGAGAGTCTCGCCACCATCCTTAAAAAGAGCCGGGGGTAAATTGTCTGGGCCGGGCGCCTTATGGCGTTTTAACACTTGGAGTTCCTTATGGACCTCCGCTTCGGTGGGTGGGTCGGTATTAACCGACCAAGGAGCACTGGGGCTAATGACAGCAGACATTGAACCTGGTGGCCAGCTAAACTGTTTCCCGAAGTACTCTGCCCAGCGTTCCAGGCGTCTTTTCAAGCTGGTAATTGGCGTGCCATCTGCCTCACAGACCGTCTCGTTGACACCTTGTTTCCTGCTGCCGGTGGCTCGGATGAGTTGGAACAGCTTCCGACTGTTGCCAGATGCAGCAGCTGACTCCACCTCACCCGCACGTTCTGACCACCAGGCTTCGCGGTCCTTACGTAAACAGTGTCTTATCTTGCGCGTCAGCGACTTCCGCTTATTGCTGTATTCGCTGCCAGCTGGAATAGACCGGCGTTCATCCAGGAGTTGCAAGGAACTCGCAGAAAACCAGTGGTTTTTGGCGGAGCATTCTTTCAAGCCACAAGCGGCTACACTCGCTCTTTGCATGGCACCTTGCGGATGAAGCCAATGTTCATCTATACTACTTGGGGGGTTGCTGGCAAGCATTGATTGTAACTCATTCTGATATTTCAAAGAAGTAGCAGGTGCCACTAGTTTGCTTACATCAACGTTTAGACGACGCCTTTTATGAACCCCACCAAATCGCAAGACGAACTTGGCACACACTAACGCATGATCGGAGTCCAGGCATGTGCTCCAGAAGGAGCGACAGTCTTGTGTGCATCCTCGCCACCGGAAACTGACAGAAATATGATCGATCTGAGTCCAAGCTTGGTTTGCAGAGGGAGGACACCAGGTAGCGCCACGGCGATGGTTGTGCCGGAAGTTGGTACTGGCTAGAAATAGATTGTGATCCGCGCAAAGCTTCAGAAGACGGTCCCCATTATCTGACCTGCGACCATGTAGTCCCCATTGACCACCTAGACGATTGTCCTCTGAGCTCAGACGTACGACCTGTGCATTCAAGTCCCCAGCCAGCACTACGATGTCCCTCTGACCCACCTGTCTTAAGAGATCGCTAAGTTGTTGGTAGAACTCATCCTTCATTGCATCCGGGCTGCAATCCGTTGGTGCATAGGCAGAGACAACAAATAGACACCGCCTATCTGGCCTACTACTCCTTACTTTCGTATAACCTTCCAGCCTCACAGCACATAAACGACTGTTAATGGGAATCCAGTCGAGCAGTGCAGCTTCGGCTCTAGCGCTCAGTGAGACGCCGACACCAGCTACGCCGGATGCCGACGCAAGAGGGTCCCCGGACAAGCGCAGGTGGTACATACTACTAGAACTTCCAGATGGAGAAGATAATCGAAGCACTTCACTGGGATCTTGAATGCGAGTCTCCGAAATGCATCAGACATCGATAGCGAGGCTTTCCAATGTTCATACCAACCCTGCCTGTTGTCCGATTTGCATCATCGTCCGAAAATTGTAGGTGGCTAGCTTGAACGCGGCACGCGGTTTCAGGATATCTGTGTTAGATGTCACATTGGGGACAACCATTTTGAGGGTTACTCACTAACAACTCGAAGCGACACAGATAGGCTAGGAATCCAGACAAAGGCGAAAGGCTGTCGAAGGTTAAGAAGTCAAGGTGAGCAAAGGTAAAATACAGGAATCTAAGTATTAAAATAAAAGTAAGGTTGGAAGGACATAAGTTACTTGAGGTATCATTATTTCTTGAAATCATTTTTGCGAGCGCGCGGTGAGTTTCCAAAACCGTTTGTTGCTTCATTTCAAACATGGCTGTGTGAGTTCAAGTAAAGTGCTTTAATTGATAAAATGTACTTTCTACACACTCTGCTAACAACCGGACATCACCACAGCACCTTCTGATCAAAGTAATGGTATGTTACCTTCAAGCTGAGAAATATGGCAGATATCGGCGACCGATATGTATGTATCCAGTCTGCTTTTCTCTAGCTCCGCTTAATTTTCTCGGAAACAAATCTTATGTAGTGTTATAGTAGGGCATAGGTTTAGTGTACATGTTCACTTTTAACATCAAAGGAGACCAAAGATACTCACTTTATCAACAAGACAAGGTAGATTAAGGGAATTAGTTGCGAATCCCATGCTGAAAACAATAGCTGCTTCTTGACCAACAAATTCGGCAACTAAATCCTCAAGTTCTTTGTGTAATATTAAGCTTCCAGCCTCCTGTCTAGGACTTGCTATACCAACGCCAAACTTTCGCGTTACTTTTTCTGTAGCTTCAGTGCATGGTCCAGTAGGATCACCAAATCCCAGATAGTTATACGATCCTAAGTTTAAAACCTTTGATTTCGTTCCAGTAAAACTGAAATGAAAGAATTAAAACCTTGTGGAAAAAGCTATTTTCATTGTTATTAAATGCAACACAGTCTCGTATGGAATACACTGAATTAGAATTTTCAACAGGTTTGGACACATTTCTCAAGCGAAAACTGAAATTCACAGACTTCATCCACATTATAGTAATAACACGGAACTCTTACAAATTAAATTAAAATTGGTTGGATTATTTTATCTTGAACTGACATCGGTTAGAGAACCATTGGAAAACCTGGGAGAACTGGACACCTGTGTCGTCCTAAATTGAGACTCTTCAAGCTCTCCTTGTAACGGAGAGGTTCTAAGTTCAAACCCCAGAGAGTGCGCACTGACGAAGAGTCTCAAACTGGGATGAAACAACTATCCAGTACTCTCAGTTTTTCCAATGGTTCTCTAACCGATGTCAGCTCATGATGAAATCCTGCAACCAATCAGACAAAAAACCCTATAAACCAATACTTGTAAGTAAAAAATGTATGTTTTATGTGTAGCTGAGAACTGCACACAAACAAGTTGCTTACTAAAGAGATGGAATAAATCAAGTTTCAACTGTTCGAAAAATACCTTAATCCACGAATAAATCACTGAATTATGTGCTTTAATTAGAATTTACCGATACTTGAAAGAAACGTAGTCAGGGGCTTACTAATATGATTAAGTAGCTTACAGTCCTACAAAAACTGTCAATTAGAATTTCATCCTCCTGTTGTTTGTTAACCAAAGGTTAAGTTATTGAAAACTATTGCAATTTCACCTAAAACTTCCCTCCTAGGAATGTAGTTGATTTGTATTCTTAAGATATGTTCAATCATATTATTCCATAAGAACTCATAATCACAGTCTAATTTCGTTTCTTCACTCTGTCTTAACTCGAAACTGCTTCAACACACATGAATGTGGCTATAAAAGTCACTTTTTGGATTTATGGAGAACACCTACCGTGACATGAAAGAGGAAACAAGAAGCCTATCATTCTGCTTAAACCGTAGTACTATAAAGCAGGTGGCTTTTATAACATCAGGTGGAGCTTTCTCAGTTTACTTTTAAAAGTGAATAGAAGTGTTAATTTATCAGATAAAAACATAACAATATTGATCTATATCGTGCCGCTTTTTTTCAAGTGAATTCCAGTGCTGGAATTCCAGGAATAATAAACTGAAATGAAGAAGAAAAACTAATAATGGATTTACATACTGAGCTTCCAGTGCATATAGGTAATAAACCAAACCACACATCTCTGTGAGACAATTAACAGATTAGATGATCTAATTATTTTTTATTCGGAAGCAATCATTCACCTAAAAATATAATATACTTTGATTGATTGATAAAGAATTTCATTACTGGACACACTAAACACCTTTTAGTGTAAGGCACATTATTATGAGTTTATACTGATTAGGATAAGGATCTTTAACGTGATTTACAATTATATGATTGAATACGAAGCATTTAGATTTATTGTCCACGCTTAGGATTATTCCAAACTATGCATCGATAATGCCTTTTTATAGTAAATAAATATTCCTATATATATATATATATATATATATATATATAATGAAATGATGATGCTCGCGCTTAAAAAGAGTATATATGTTCATTTCGAGGTATTACAAGAAAAACAGTGTCATGAATGATGAATCTGTTGTTTGCCTGAATGCTAGTCAAGCTAAAAATCATAAATAAATCATTAATAATATCACTGCGACGTTTATCCTAAGGTTCTTTTATGAATGTCCCTGAAATCATCAGCGCTATATTTACATAGAAAAACTAAAATACTGCAAAATTGTAGCCGCTCACTTTAAAGTCCATCCACAGTCTGGTGAAATGCGATTCATCACTACCATTTCACTGCCTGGTGCTGAACAAATAGGTCTATTCCAACAGTCTTGAACTCTTCTATATAAATTTCGTGTATAAAAGGCCTCATAGGAAGAGTAGAGGGGCACAAAAGATCTGGTGCGCTCTGGCTCTGTCACTGAATGATTTTTCAAAATATGGAGGAATCGCAGAAAATCTTGAAGTCTTCCCAAAATATTTAGGATTAGAAAGCTTAAGTAAGTCAGTACAGCCGTTCGTAAGGGGGCTCCTTCGAAAGATTCATAAAAAGCCTCTCCTGTTCGAGGACCACGATATGTTTTCATTCTTAAAGTAACTCAAAAGAACAATTGGAAAATCCAAGGTCAGCCAACTAACTGCCAAACAGTCCGCCTTGGACTTTAGAGTAAATTGTTGCTAGGTTGAATTTTCGATTTCATTTATTATAACAAAAAGCAACATCCAGTACCAGTCAAAAATGTGAGTGGAAATAGTTAGACCTAAAGATGTTGACTGAATAACACTGAAATATAGCGACCAGAAACGAAATTACTTAATCAACTGATTGATGACCTTGAGAGACCAGGCAGATGAATTCGTAGTATGTGAACGGAATCATGGATACCCTACACGAATAATTTAGCAAGCTTCATCTAGATCTATTACTGAAGTGCTGGATAGACCACGGGCTCATCGGAAGGGAGAAATCACGTAGCCAACTGTCACTCCTGATCTGTATTCATAACGTGGTCAATAATTCGGACGATTTCGTTAATACTCTCGTTGGGACCCACACAAATACCGTCTAAGACTTCTAAGGTCATCTGAGGAAGAGTATTTGAGTGCCAATTGAGTCAAAAAACAAGAGGATTTGTAGTTACCTCGATGAATACATGTACCGAAATTGGTTTAACCTGACTACGAGAAGTCTTATGTGAAATCAGGAGGTTTTCCTGTTCCAAGTTATTCGTAACAGCTACGGTCTGGAAACTTATAATAGTTAGTTTTTATAAATATTCGTGGTCAATGAGAACAAAAGATGAAGTGAGACGAAATAATTTTATGATATATACATACATATGTAAACATAGTCTGAAAAAGTACATGTTTTGAGGGTGAGTGTAATCAACGCTGTGTGAGACAATACGAATACTACAGAAAATAAGCCAACGAATGAGGTTCAAGGCCGAAAATAACGGCAATAATAATGAATGTGAAATAATAACAATGATGTAGTGAAAACTTAAAAGTACTATTGGTGAACGATTGTCAAATTATAATAATGAGTTCATTGAAGTCAAATGAACATGATTTTGTAGATATGACAACAATTTAGGAGGGCACTGCTCAAACCTAAGGTAACAGAAATCATGAGAAAGGTTAGGAATTCGTAAAGGGTCAGAAATGAAAGTTTCTGAATAAAACAAAGAAAAAGAGGGTGAAAAGGAAAATTGCGATTGAAATTTAAAGTGCTAATGTTTACGAAGGATTTGAAGGCCTTATTATTGGCCGAGATAGACGTAGTGATTGAACATACTCCTTCTGCATGCAAAGAGTCGGTTTTCTGGTATTGATTGCAACCGCTACAGCTACTGATAGGAGGCGTAGTCAAGCTCCCCTGGATGGATTAACAGGAAAACTGTAAATAACTGAGAACGCCTGTTCAGGTTTTATTGAGTGTCCAGTATCTACCAATTGTGCTGAGATTGCAATATTTACGCATTTGGTTACCAGTCTACTGAACCACACAGGTACATGTTTACTTGCCCCCCTGGATAAAGCCCTCTGAGTACGGCTTATATAACTAGCTCCATATGAGCAGTTGGATTCATAGATACACATTCAAGAACCCATCTCTGGCAATTTATCATTGATTGGTTGTGTGAGTGCTGGTTTTTTAGAAGCTGAGCACCAATTTAGCTGCAGGAAATGTTCACTCTACTGCTCCATGAAGTCGACATTTTAGAATGTCAATTGCAATCTCCCTTTTGCAACTTAGCTTAAGATACGAAGGTTTCTTATCTGCAGTATCTATCGTCACCCTATCTCTAGGTATCAACATGTGCTTTTCTTGGAATTTCTCTTGATATTCATCTTCTTGTATTGTAAGCTTCAGTTTACACATTTTTCCCCAGTGCATTCGCCTGAGCACGTAATTTTTATTGTATGACTAGGTCACCTAACTCAGTTTCTTTTGAATTTAATCGGTATGAAGCTATGGAAATGGGTGTACCGAACTGTTCAAGTTTTCTTCCTAAATAGCTTCCTTTGTAGATATCCGTCTACCTTCATGGTTATTAAGTTTTATCGATTAAGGTTGCTTCAGCATCTGCAAAGTATTTCATGATATTTTAGTGATGTGACTATCTGAAAATTACTATGTGAATGTTGGCGCGTGATTATAACTCCACATTAATTATGTTTGAGCGAAATCCCCATCCATAAAAGCTGAGTGCAACTGTGCCTGTTGGATGGTTAAGGAAGCTGGCTTACTCCTTATAGAGTAACAAGGTTGTCCCCTGAGGATTCGTTATTTCCATCTAAATTAAGTGAAAACCAATACAAATTAAAAAACTTCTGTTTCCAGCTCTCAAGATGATATGCATATAAAAGCATCTTTTTACTAAATTATTCTGGCAAATTACAGAGCTAGAGGTGAACTTTTTGCTGAATAACAGAAAACTGAAGACCTCCATTAAGTGTAGAAAATAACACTTACAAAACAACATTTACAGATCTTCCATAATGTATTTACTCAGCGACTGTGGTAAGCACTGAACGATGTGGCAAACACTATCCTTTTTCTTTAGAACCCACTTATGCCTAGTCTCGTTTCTGGCTTCCACCAACATAAATAAACAAAGTGAAGGTGAAGTTGCAACAGATCCATGGAATTCAAGGATCTTTTTGATCTCCTGTGTGACCACTTTTTTTATATTTTGCAGGTGTTGAGTTGAATAGGGACATTGAGCTGGGGAAAGATGTGGTGCTCTTGAATATCAATATACAATAGCCACCTGATTTCTAAGCCCTCTACTTAGGCAAGGACACACAAAGAGCTAGGGCAGAAACCGTATTTATAATGGGAAATGGTTTACATGGGGAACACACTCACGAGAAATGTATGCGTATGCCGGTGATGCAGGAGTGAGAAAGGGCTATTCATTATTTATCTGTCTACCCATCTATAAGACAACTGATTGGCATATATCTAAGCTGGAAATCGGTCACCATATAGTGTTCAACCACCACCATTGTGTTCCTTTGGAAACAAGGTGTCTGCTATCCTCGTATTCGATCCCCAACCATTGATTTAATAAAAGTGATCGTCGACGTTCTTAATGTTAGAGTAAATGGGTAAGAAAAATAGTAAACGGTGATGTTACGAAAGAATGCACAACTTTACTTAGGCCTGAGTAACTATTGTCAGGGATAAATTAGATAAATTACAGTCCTATAGTATAATATTAGATGGTTGGAGTCAATAGGCAAGGCTTATCTGTAGCCTTGAAGGAAGTCATATCCCTTCTGAGATTCGAACCCGCGTCACCCACTGCTGCAGTCAGAGACCCTACCACTGAGCTGTTCTGGCTCGCGATTGTCCTCCTGTATGACTGTAGTGGATAGTTTGATCGGACATCGGTAACCAGTGTGATATGTCTAGCCCTTTCTTCCGTTCAAACTGAATTCTATCAGTCAGATTACTTTCGAGTCTCGGAAATATGTTGGAAGTATGTAGTTTATGTTTTAATTTCTCAAATGTATTTGTCTTGGCGCACACATTTGGAATTACATACACAGCTGGAGGTACTCACTAGCAAGTTCCCTTCAACAAAATGCAGAAGTGTATTTAACAAGAGTGAGAGAGAGTAACAATCTTAACACACTTGCAGTTTCCACATAGTGTCAGTTGGCAGGCTTCCAGTCTAAACAAAATAATCAACGTTTGCATGCACTGCGAGGGGAGTTACACGATAAAGACAAGAGGTTAAAGCCAAAGATTACGTAATCAAATGGAAGAGAATGAAAAGATCCAGTTGCCAGGGTAATAAAACACTGATAAGAATTTCTTTCTGAAGATATAAATCGGGTTTCAGGCTTCTGAAAGAGGTTGCACCAGGAAACTAGAAAAGTAGTGATCTAATTTTTATATTAACAATTTAAGGGATTTCGCAATGTCCGCGTGATGACGCGTATCAAGGATATGCCTAGCGATGGAACTATTGAAAGCATCTGTTCCCTTGAAATGAAGGATTTTTGTTGCATGTCCAGAAAGTTAGAGGTGTGCACCTCTTTCTGTTCACTCAGTGTATTTGCTCGCACATACTTGTACAGATTATGGCTGGACTTATATGTCACGTTGGGTGGAAATTTCGTTTTTAAAAATTTTTGTCAATAAGTTTTAACGAAATTGTGTTATATGTTATCTTGATTGGCGGGAATTCTCATTTCCTGACTAGTTATGTTGCTGTGCGCGTTATGTGGTCTGACTGCGATACACACTTTTAGCATATTGGTTGCAATGATTAGTGATTCAGGCGGACTGGGTCAGAATAGCGCTATAATGAGCAAGATGGGATAGTTGTAAGGTAGTGTCATCTACACAAATAGTTTACATTATGTAGAAGATGTACCTTCCGGCATAGCATCATTCAATAGAGACCTCATGTCTCAGGATATCACTAGCTATTTTCGTGTGAAGAATAGGCCTTTTTGACAAAAGAATGCTATCAGTACATGGAAATCACCTGTAAATGCTAACAGAACCACCTGAGGGAAAAGAAGTTATCATGCAGATGTGTCTTTCACCGTATGTGTGCTTGGACAGGAATTATCGTAAGTTTAAAGGTTATCTCTAAGTGGATTTAATATATTTTTGCACCGATTGGTGCAGTACAATATGGGTTATGTGGATTCAATGTAAAACATCTCTACTTCACTAATATTGTGCCGTTGCCTGCTTGATTGACTGCTAGGCTAACAAATGTAGGCGGTTCTCTTGATTGTTGCAAGTGCAGTGCAGTAGAGAAGGCAATTACTCGTTTTAATTTCCCTACTGTTTCACTTAGTGAGTTAATTCAGTATGTAGTGTGATTACAAACATGTATTGCGTTGATTATGAGAACTGAATCCAGTCAGCTTTATTATTGTTACTATCAATTTATAGATTAAGCTGAAAAAAATTAGCACTATGGACTGAAGTAAATCTTTTCGTTCTGAAGTAAGGCTAATCAATGCTTAATATGTCCTGTGAGACCATTTCAGAACGGATTTCGATTCAAGTTCTCAGCTTGTTGTAACTTCGAGAGAGCCACTGATTGTATACCACAACCAGAAACGTTATTCTTGGAAATTAAAGTCTTACCTTAAACTGGGATAGTTCGTACACTCACCAGATCATTGTATATTATCCGCTAATCAAATCGTTTTGCAACATATTGAATGGCTGTTAACATTGGCTTTACTACAGGCAGTCCTAGTTCGTGTATTTGGATCTAG